CATCACAGGTGATCTGTTGTCGTATATGCAATCAAATATTCTTAAGCTAACGCTTGAGCAAAAAGGCATTTACGATCAAATAATTCAAACTGTCAACAACGGGTTTGGAGAAATCTTCTAAGAAGCGTCAGGAGGAACCTTTCTAATTAGATCGATTTTCGCAGCATTTCGATCTAAAATGGCATAACCTTAGTTCTAGCATCGTTCGGAATAACTGCGACATTGCTACCAGCTGGAAAAACTGCTACTTCGGCTTTGAAATGGCCATTGAACATGCAATTCATTGAAACTCCCACGTGCAACATTTCCAAAGCATCCGGCATGAGAAAAGTATTGCAGAAATGTAAACTTACTGTTTTTGGGATGAATGCACAATGGCCCACAAAAAATTGCTCGAGGCACTTGATCGATCATTGCAAGATTTGCGTGGAAACATCAGACCATTTGGGAACGCATTAATATTGCTTGCAGGAGATTTCAGGCAAACATTACCCGTAATTCCTCGATCGACACCAGCAGACGAAATAAATGCTCGCCTGAAATACTCTACTTTGTGGCGCCACGTAAAGGTGATAAAATTAACTACAAATATGCGTGTCCAGCTGCAAAACGATCCATCAGCCGAGATATTCTCACATCAATTTCTGGAAATTGTGAACGGAAACGTGGCAGTCACATACAAGTCCGGCGACACTGGTGGAAGCAGATGAAGCGGTTAATTATCCATCTGAATTTTTTTTTTTTTTTTTTTTTGAGATATATACAAGAGTTGTTACATTCTTGTACAGCCACTAGTACGCGTAGCGTTTCGGGCAAGTTCTTAATCCTATGGTCCCTGGAATACGATCCCCTGCCGCGAAGAATCGTTTTTTCATCCAAGTACACATTTTACTGTTGCGTTAAACAGAGGCTACAGTTAAGGAATTGCGCCCAGTAAATCCTCCCCGGCCAGGATACGAACCCATGACAGCGCTCTCGGAACGCCAGGCGAGTGTCTTACCACTACACCACGGAGACTGTTATTTCACTCGATCTGCGAGGGATACCACCACAGCACGAACTGCAATTAAAAATCGGCGTGCCAATTATCATGTTACGAAATATCAACCAGCCAAAGCTTAGCAACGGCACGCGGCTTACAGTAAAACAATATTCAACAACGTCGTAGAAGCCACAATCTTGACAGGACCTTTCAAAGGTAAAGATTTCCTCATTCCTCACATTCCTGTGATTTCAACGGATTTGCCATTTCAATTTAAGAGATTGTAATTCCCAATTAGATTGGCGTTTTCAATCACCGTCAACAAAGTTCAGGGCTAGTCCTTAGAATAGTGCGGTTTAGATCTAGACATGGATTGCTTCTCACATGGACGATCCATGTGAGAATATGTTGTGTGTTCTAGAGTTGGCAATCAGACAATCTCTATATCTTCACAGACAGTGGAACATGGAAAAAATATTATATACCCACAAGCATTGTGAAATTAAACATGTTAGAAACGCGCATTTTCTCTTTTCTTTCTTCTCCATTTAACCAGACTGAGCCACAGCAACGCGTGTCAGGTACAGCTAGTGTATATATATACATATATATATATATATATATATATATATATATATATACATATATATATATATATATATATATATATATATATATACATATATATATATATATATATATATATATATATATATATATATATATATATGAGGTACCGCCTCTGGTGTAATTGTGTGGACCCATTGCCCCGGAGAAAGTAATTAGGATCATTTAGAGAAAGTTTTATATGTATATGTACTCTTTCATTTGATATCAAGATCTCTCCAAAGTCAAACTACTGATCCTCCCCAGCAAACAGCCTCACATAAACAGTGATACTAACTCTCAGGTTCCTATTTAGTGCTAAGCGAACATAGGCAAAAGGCGAAAATAAACGTACCCAACCATTTCTATACAAGCCGGAGATCGATTGTGGGACCCCTCATTTGTAGGTCAAGAACGTGGCCAACGACAGCTACATATGGTTTGGTATTGTCAGGGAAAGGATACATGTTCAGCGTCCTAATCACATATACCAATTTTTGCTTTCTAAATGTATTTGGTTTCCCCTAAATATGCATTTTCTTCTTTAGCAGGGTAGGTAAAGAAAACGTTATTTTGTGTATAACAAAAATAACCTTTAGGATTTGGATATGAACATTGCCAGAGGCCACATATGGAAGTGTATGTAGAAGTGTACTTGGATCAATGTTTGAAGAGGAAGTATTTAGTGTTTAAAGTGTTAACATTTTTAAAAGTGTGTTTAGTGTTTAAATGAAGTGTTTAAATGTTTAGAAGTGTATGGCCAGGAAAATGTAGAGAAATATCCGACTTCGTTTGGTTACCCCTCAAGCTGGAACCAGGAATCTTATTACATGATCGAGGGTTACCAAGACAAACTACTGTCCTTCCCGGGATGCAATCAATTACTGTTAATTATATATCAGAATTATCAATCAGTTGTCTACCGCCCGGGTATCTAGGTGAACAGTTTCATAAGATGAAAGAAAACATTGCCCGTACACTTGTTGTGTCCGGTAATACCTATTAAGTCGCATTTTGTACGATATGGTAAATAACGTTTCAAATATACACCCTAATACGAGAAGAAATGAGTCGCCTATGTCTGTCTACGTTTGTTATATGTCTCGAAGTGAGAGGTTAGGTCCGTGTATGTTTGAGTTCATGTATGACGAGGGTACGAGGCTAGTGTATATCTGGAAATGTTTAAGAAATAATGTATGTCTCTGGAAACGTGTAATGTATGTCTCTATACATGTTTATTGGCTAGTGTGTGTCTCTGGAGATGTTTAGTGGCATGAGAATGTCTCTGGGAATTTTTAGTGTCTATTGTATGTCCCAGGAAATATTATGTGGCCAGTGTATGTGTCTGGAGATGTGTAGTGGCCAGTGTATGTGTCTGGAGATGTGTAGTGGCCAGTGTATGTGTCTGGAGATGTGTAGTGGCCAGTGTATGTGTCTGGAGATGTGTAGTGGCCAGTGTATGTGTCTGGAGATGTGTAGTGGCCAGTGTATGTGTCTGGAGATGTGTAGTGGCCAGTGAATGTTTCTGGAAATGTTTAGTGGAAAGTATATCAGTGTAGTTAATAAATGGAATGCATTAGGAAGTGATGTGGTGGAGGTTGACTCCATATTCAGTTTCGAGTGTAGATATGATAGAGCCCAATAGTCTCAGCAACCTGTACACCAGTTGATTGTCAGTTGAAAGGCAGGAACAACGAACCGAAGCTCAACCCCCGCAAGCACAACTAGGTGAGTATAACAATGTGAGTACACACACAGAAACTTTAGAAACGGCCTTTAGAAAATTATGTAAGGAATCATTCAGAAACTTGTATGCCACATATGTCAGACCAATACTGGAGTTTGCATCCCCAGCATGGAGTCCATATCTCGTCAAGCATAAAACTAAATTGGAGAAGGTTCTGAGGTTTGCCACCAGACTAGTACCCGAGCTGAGGGGTATGAGCTACGAAGAGGGGCTAATGGAACGAAACCTCGCGTCGTTGGAAGACAGAAGAGTTAGGGGGGAAGAAATGATCACCACATACCAAATTCTCAAAGGAATCGATAGGGTAGATAAAGGCAGGCTATTTGCCACAAGGGGCACACGCACAAGGGGACACAGGGGAGAAACTAAGTGCCCAAATGAGCAACAGAGATATTAGAAAGAATTTTTTCATTGTCAAAGTAGTAAACAAATGGAATGCTTTAGGCAGTGATGTGGTAGAGGCTGACTCCATACACAGTTTAAGTGTAGATATGATAGAGCCCAATAGGCTCAGGAACCTGTACATCAGTTGATTGACAGTTGAGAGGCAGAACCAAAGAGCTCAACCCCCGCAATCACAACAAGATGAATACACATACATTCACAATCCTGGAGGAATTTGAGCTAACCAGTGATGAGGTCGAAAGGAATCTTTTGGAGAAGAATGTAACTGTTGTTGGGCCTGACAGAATCTCACTGTGGATACTAAAAGAGGGTGCAGAAGCACTAAGTGTGCCACTCTCTGTGGTGTATAACAAATCACTTGAAACAATAGACCTACCAAAAAGCTGGACACTGAACTTCAGGCCAATTTCCCTAGCTTCTTTGACATGCATGGTGATGGAGAAGATCGCGAGGAAAAGGCTCTTAGAACATATGGAGGGAAAGAGCTTTGTAACTCACCACCAGCATAGATTCAGGGATGGTAAATCGTGCTTCACAACATTAATAGAATTATATGAACTGGCGACAAAAATTTACACCTAGACTGTCAGAAAGCCTTTGACACAATTACCCATAAAAGTCTGTTACAAAAGTTTGAGCAAGAGGCAGGAGTAAAAGGTAAGGTGCTCCAGTGGATAATGGAGTATCTAGACAACAGGAAACAGTGGGTAACTGTGAGGGGGAAGTGGCAAAGTAGCAAGATGCCACCAACGGAGTCCCCAGGACTCTGCACTTGGACCTGTGTTGTTTCTGATATATGTAAACGGTCTTCCAGAGGGTATAGATTCATTCCCCTCAATGTTTACTGATGATGAAAAAATTATGAGAAGAATAAAGACAGAGAATACAGGAAGACCTGGACAAACTGGAGGAATGGTCTAGAAAATGGCTACTAAAGTTTAACTCTGGAAAGTTTACATTAATGACATTGGTCAATGAAAGCAGGCGCCTAAACCACAACATACTGTCTGGGAAGTGAAATCCTGCAAGAGGCAAATTAGAGAGAACGATCTGGGTGTTGATATCACACCGAACCTGTCCCCAGAAGCCCACATCAAAAGGATATAATCAGCAGCATATGCTAGATTGACCAACATAAGAACTGCCATTAGAAACTTGTGTAAGGAATCCTTCGGGACGTAGTATATCACTTATGTCAAACCAAACCTGGAGTATGCAGCTCCAGCCTGGAGTCCATACCTAGTGTCACGTGTCACTCACCTTGGCCTTGTGTTACGTGAGGTTACAGTTAAACAGCGGAGAATCATGCTACTGATCCTGTAACCCCACGCCATGAGTCTTTGCTCCCTCCACTAGGGTATCATGCATCACCCCAGACATACACGTTTATCATGATTAATGTTAGAATCAAATATATGGATTCGTAACATGTTTCTGTACCTTGCTGTGTGTTTCAATAGCTTGTTCTGTGTTGCCGTACCTTGCTGTGTGTTGCTGTAGCTTGTTGTGTGTTGCTGTATCTTACTGTGTGTTGCTGTACCTTGCTGTGGGTTGCTGAAGCTTGCTCTTGCTTGCTGTGTGTTGCTATAGCTTGCTGTGTGTTGCTGTAGCTTGCTGTGTGTTGCTGTAGCTTGCTGTGTGTTGCTGTAGCTTGCTGTGTGTTGCTGTAGCTTGCTGTGTGTTGCTGTAGCTTGCTGTGTGTTGCTGTAGCTTGCTGTGTGTTGCTGTAGCTTGCTGTGTGTTGCTGTATCTTACTGTGTGTTGCTGTAACTTGCTGTGTGTTGCTGTAGCTTGCTGTGTGTTGCTGTAGCTTGCTGTGTGTTGTTGTAGCTTGCTGTGTGTTGCTGTAGCTTGCTGTGTGTTGCTGTAGCTTGCTGTGTGTTGCTGTACCTTGCTGTGTGTTGCTGTACCTTGCTGTGTGTTGCTGTAGCTTGCTGTGTGTTGATGTACCTTGCTGTGTGTTGCTGTAGCTTGCTGTGTGTTGCTGTAGCTTGCTGTGTGTTGCTGTACCTTGCTGTGTGTTGCTGTAGCTTGCTGTGTGTTGCTGTATCTTACTGTGTGTTGCTGTATCTTGCTGTGTGTTGCTGTAGCTTGCTGTGTGTTGCTGTATCTTACTGTGTGTTGTTGTATCTTGCTGTGTGTTACTGTAGCTTGCTGTGTGTTGCTATAGCTTGGTGACAGTGACTGGGTGTTGCTATAGCTTGGTGACAGTGACTGGGTGTTGCTATAGCTTGGTGACAGTGACTGGGTGTTGCTATAGCTTGGTGAGAGTGACTGGGTGTTGCTATAGCTTGGTGACAGTGACTGTGTGTTGCTACCGCTTGGTGACAGTGACTGGGTGTTGCTATAGCTTGGTGACAGTGACTGTGTGTTGCTATAGCTTGGTGACAGTGACTGGGTGTTGCTATAGCTTGGTGACAGTGACTGGGTGTTGCTATTGCTTGGTGACAGTGACTGTGTGTTGCTACAGCTTGGTGACAGTGACTGGGTGTTGCTATAGCTTGGTGACAGTGACTGGGTGTTGCTATAGCTTGGTAACAGTGACTGGGTGTTGCTATAGCTTGGTGATAGTGACTGGGTGTTGCTATAGCTTGGTGACAGTGACTGTGTGTTGCTACAGCTTGGTGAGTGTGACTGGGTGTTGCTATAGCTTGGTGACAGTGACTGTGTATTGCTATAGCTTGGTGACAGTGACTGGGTGTTGCTATAGCTTGGTGACAGTGACTGGGTGTTGCTATAGCTTGGTGATAGTGACTGGGTGTTGCTATAGCTTGGTGACAGTGACTGTGTGTTCCTACAGCTTGGTGACAGTGACTGGGTGTTGCTATAGCTTGGTGACAGTGACTGGGTGTTGCTATAGCGTGGTGACAGTGACTGTGTGTTCCTACAGCTTGGTGACAGTGACTGGGTGTTGCTATAGCTTGGTGACAGTGACTGGGTGTTGCTATAGCTTGGTGACAGTGACTGGGTGTTGCTATAGCTTGGTGACAGTGACTGGGTATTGCTATAGCTTGGTGACAGTGACTGGGTATTGCTATAGCTTGGTGACAGTGACTGGGTATTGCTATAGCTTGGTGACAGTGACTGGGTGTTACTATAGTCACTGGAGTATTATCGTTACACTCAGGTTGAGAGGTAGCTGGGTATGTCACTGGTGGAACACCTCTCCGTAAAAGCGGATGCCACACTGGTAATCCTCCACACTGGTCGAGGATTACCTTGAGATGTTTTAAGTTAGTTGACGTGGCAGAGCTGTGTCGTGCGACGCGGATCAGAAGTCTCTAGAATGTAGTTGTTGTTCTTGCATTCTTTGATGCGACAAAGTCTTGAAAATTTACTTTGAAATGGAGAGCTTGGGATAGGAAAATATGTCAGGACGAAGTCTCCTACATTAAACTTTCTTACTTTACTGTTCTTGTCAAAGTGTGCTTTCATCTTATGTTGTGAGGACAATAAATTAGCACTAGCAAACTTATGCACTTGTTCAAGTTTGTCTTAAGTTTTCAAGAAATTAAGACAAATTAAGGGAATCATTGAAGGTATTTGACTTTAAGGAATATTTAAAGGCTTTAAGGGGACCACGGTACTTACGACCGTAGAGTATCTCATAAGGAGATACTCCAAGGGACTCAGAAAATGCAAATAAGGAGCACTAATTGATTATCCCAATCCTTCTCAGTGGTAATAAAAAATTTTTTTACACTGACATGATGATTTGATGACTACATTCTAAACATAACTGTGAAGCAGGATGATATGGGTCAGAGAAAACTTGCGTAATGTTAAATTCCTGAAGGGTTTTATTATACAACTCACTGGTGAGGTTAGTTCCTCACTCACTTTGAATCACTTTCGAGAATCCATACTGAGTGACGATCTTCAACAGATACTTGACCATTTTAGTAGTAGTTGTTTTCTTGGCGGGAATTGCTATTGGTAACCTGAGGGTTGGACACATAATGGTGATGATGTACAGGCTGCCTACGCGGGTTCTTGGTAATGGCCCAACGCAGACCATTAATAACTTCGGAAGGCAGAGGAATAGGGATAAGTGGTGCCTTTGTAATAGGAATATTAGGTTCACCTGCCACTTCACATGTATGGCAAATATTAACAAAGGTCTTTACACCTCGTGTCATTCCTGGCCAAAAATAATCTTGAATAAGAGCATTATATATTTTATTGATACCGTAATGAGACATCGGGCCATGAGTGAGAGAGATAATATATTTTCTTAAAGATGTTGTAACCACTGACTGATTCACATTAGCCGGTCATACATAGAGCCGGGTTCACATAGAGCCGGGTTCACATAGAGCCGGGTTCACATAGAGACCGGGGAGCCGGTCGGCCGAGCGGACAGCACGCTGGACTTGTGATCGTGTGGTCCCGGGTTCGATCCCGGACGCCGACGAGAAACAATGAGCAGAGTTTCTTTCACCCTATGCCCCTGTTACCTAGCAGTAAATAAGTACCTGGGTGTTTGTCAGCTGTCACTGGCTGCTTCCTGGGGGTGGAGGCCTGGTCGAGGACCTGGCCGCGGGGACACTAAAGCCCCGAAATCATCTCAAGATAACCTCAAGATAAGCCCAATCATTCTCTGCCTTGAGTTTACTGAGTCTGAATTTACGGTACAATATTTGATTATCACTAATGTAAGACCCTGGGATAGCATCGGTCGTAATCTGAGCTTGGAAAAACAAGGGAGTTAAAGAAGTGTCAGCTTGTTGTAACTTACGGAATTCCAACCGGTTGTGATTCGGTAGAAGGGAGGCCTCGGACGTCTTGAAGGACAGTTGTTGCTACTTGTGGTGACTGAGTGGCTTGAGCACGTGTGGTCGCTATAACACGCTGGGAGATGCCTGCTCATTCTTCCGTCTCGGTTACCTCCTCTTCTGCTGCATAAGTCATGGCAGGATATTCTTCCGTGGCTCTCACATACCTGCGGTTTGTCACAGATGATCAAATTGGTGGACTCTTGCAGGTTGGCCAAGTCGTTGCCCAGGAGAAAAACGCTTTGCCCAAACGCTTTGCGAAAAACGCTGCCCGAAACGCTTTGCGTAATAGTGGCTTTAGGCATTGTATGTACTAGCTCTATCTATAAAGCCAACAAACATTGTAAAATCTCTTTATGTATGTACCTTTACCTAAATAAAAATTATTATTATTATTATTATTAGAAGTTAAATTCCTGGCATGGGGAAAAGTTTTTACCGAATGGCGACTTTAACTTCTCCCCTGTCCCCTAATAAATTAACACTGCAGGTGGACCGTGGCAAGCGGGTAAGGTGTGGTTGCAGTAAGGTCAGTGATCAGGACGGATTCTCCAGCGTGGGTGACTTGAGGTGCAGCGACTCTCAATAGAATACTCTGTAGCGAGGCTGTGTCCCTCAAGATGCGTATTGGGCACGTTCCATCGGAATCTCTACCGCTGGCAGAGACACTTCCTGGATACACATATCTGACAAATAAAGCAAGATCAGTAATTGGAACATTTACATGTAACACAGACTTAGTTGGCTTAGGAGGTTGAGGTTTAGGCTTAGATGAATCAGGTTTCGTCGTTTTGCATCCGGGATTTGGACATTGACCAATAAGGTTATCTTGAGGCTATCTTGAGACCGGGGCTTAGCGTCCCCGCGGCCCGGTCCTCGACCAGGACTCCTTTTTGTTACATCCCCCCCCCCCCAAGAAGCACCCCGTAGCATCTGTCTAACTCTCAGGTACCTATTTACTGCTAGGTAACAGGTGCATCAGGATGAAAGAAACTCTGCCCATGTGTTCCCGCCTCCACCGGGGATCGAACCCGGAACCTCAGGACTACGAATCCGAAGCGCTGTCCACTCAACTGTCAGGCCCACCAATGAACTGCCGGGTACCTAAGGTTAATTCTCAAGGCTTCATTCTGCAATTTTTCAAGCCTTCCAAGCTTTCTTTCAGGCAGTAAAGCAAGCAGAGGTACAGCATAATCCACTAAAGATCTGATGTATACAAGCAACATAATTTTAACAATTCTAACATTGGCACCATTGCCTGAGTGATAACCTGCAACAGCCTTGAGAGCGCTGAGCCTCTCTTTATACTGACGACAGAGTCTGATTATAACAGTACCAAACAGTGCAGGGACCTCAAGACCAAGGTATATGAATCTGTTTACGTAGTCAAATAGAATAAGTAAGTTTAACTTAGTTTATCATTGAGAAACGTATCTGTTAAAAAAAAAGAAGGGCCATTATGCCTAAAAGTTTTTAAAAGCGTCCTAAAAGTTGTCGTTTGACAGCCATCGAGGTTCAGAATGAAGGTGGGGTAATAATGAGGAGAAAGCGCTCAGACA